AGGGAAAGGCTACAGGGAAGCTTTTGCCTAGAACTGAGGCCTTTTGGCTTTCAGCAACTGGATCATGATTTGCCTTTTATAAGTAAATTATTTTACTGGTTGCTTGAAGTATTATTTTTGTTCTCTGGAAATGATGTGATTGGTTTTTTGATGAAGTGGAGCAGTCAGTATGAACAGCAATACAGTAACTTTTACCGTATTTGAAACTCTCCACCTGGTAGATGTCATTGCTATGCTTCAAGTGCTGGTAAAACTTTTGTTTTCCTAAAGGAAGGGCAAAGTACAAGACTTAATGCAATGTCATTTGCATAAAACTTGGTTTCAGAAGTTTCCACCATTAAAATACACCGAAAATGGAATTTAAAAGATACCTACTCTATACCCACTTCCCATACTATGGAGAATACAAAGGCAGACTTTGAAGGTTTTTAAGTGCAGCCTTCTAAGCTGGATTCTCCTTTTGGTACTTAAAAAAGGAAACTAAAGAAAAAAGGCTAATATTGTGTAGTGAATTCACAGGAGGATTTGTATGAGCTTAGAAAAAAAGAGAATGTGACCTTTTAGTTGGAACTTGTTGGAAATAATTTATGTCAGGCAAAAGTTAATTTTCAGGAAAAAGAAAAAAAAAAAAGAGGAAGAGAATTAAGTGAGTTTGAAGATACTCTATGATGCCTTTTTAAGTTAAGTAAGTTAGGGAAATCAGAAAGGTTTCCAAAAATAAAATTGCTTTGTTAAGAAATAATTGGTACTTGTAGTGCAAAGTGCTTGACTACACCAGAAAGTTAGTTCTTTGCTTGCTGTGTGAAGGACTGTTTTCACATTTAGATAAAATGATTTTACAGAAAGCTATAATGGAATCTGATGAAGAGTGGTCCATGAACAAGAAGTTAATTGATCTTTCTTCAAAAGACATTCGGAAATCTGTAAGTAAAGAAATGTATTGAACTCTGAATTTCTCATCAAATTCTTTTCATCTTTTTTCATTGTTAACTGTTTCAAAGAGAGAAGAAAGGGAACACAACTAGATTAGTGCATCAGGAGATAGCATAGGTATGATGAGAATTAGGAGTCTGACTGAACTCCTAACTGACGTTAGGGAAAATAATCACATTTATTTCAACAGTTGATGGGCTGAGCTGCAAGCATTGGTTGAGAACAAAGCTGGCACTTTGAGGACTTGTACAGCATAATTTTCTTGATTAACTTTAAGAATTAAGGTAGATCAAAGATCTTCAAATTACTTTCCTGGAAAAAAAACATGATGTGTCATTTTCATTGACCTAAAAAAGCCTTCTGTGTTGCTAAGTCTATGAAGCAAAATTATAAGTAGCATTATAAGTCTTTTTATTCTAAAACAAGGGAACAGAACTCTGTCTGTCTCCTGGATACTAAACTGAAACGTCTGTGTATATATAAATGTTAAAGGTCTAATGCTGAAACTGATTGTTCCATATTTTTAACACTAAAGTGAAAGATGTGTGGTATATAGACTTTATCACAAGTAGTTTACTACTATGTAGCAATAATAATTAATTTCTGAAAGAGTCTTCTAGTAAATACAGCACCTTTGCACTAAGAAATCCTAGCTTAGAAGAAAGGGGAGATGGGTTTAGTTATGAGACACGAAGCTTGATACAACAAAGAGGGAGAATAAATGCTGAAGATTGGGTGGCTGTATAGTATTACTATGTAGTGACTGTATAGTAGGAGAGGTTTTGCATATTGTGATGAGTCTTGAACTGCACCGACAGCAGTAGCAAATGTAGCAAAAAGACAATTTATTCTGCCACATAAGCTGAAATGCCATATAAATGTAATGGGAGTCAGTTATGGGTCGTGTTATTCAGAGTGGAGAGGCTTCAGCTGGAAAATTCAGGTGTGGTTTTGGGCACAGTATTTTAAGATGGTTACAGAAGGAGAGCAGAGGGTTAGAAAACTGAACTGAAGAAACTGGTTTAGGGGTTAGTGCAGACTAGGAAAGAAAAGACTGAAATGTGGTGTGATGGTAGCTGTCTGTGTCTGGGAGGGAGGTTATTTTAAAGAAGGTAGTGCTTAGTTGTTCACCAGCACTTTTGGGTGCACACAAAGAATTCAATTAATTTGTAGCAAGAACTTAGGGAATACTTTAAACTTAAGGTGGGTGTAAACATAAAACAAAATAGGCATGTTTTGGACATGTTTTTCTCATTGGTGTTTCAGAACAGGGAAAGCCAATATCTGTCACAAAATAAAGTATAATTTTTTGACACATGGCAGGGCATCAGGATATTTGATTTCTTTGTCTTCTTAGCTATACATAATGTGACTACTATATTGCCATTTGAAGGTAAACCACATGAAGATTAAGACAGGACACTTCTTTAAACTGCATCTTTAAATGCATCTGCGTGTAAATTGTTGTGCACTTGTGTGATTTTAACATTATTTTAGGGTAAAAGAAATCCCTGTAGCCTTCAGGAAGATATGAGTATAGCTTAAGAGACCGAACTGAGGTTTGGGTAGTTGTATTAGGGTATGGTGGTGCCTAGGAGGAGGGTCAGACATGGCTGAGATGTCATTTAATGGGTGGATTGTGTGCAGAAATTGGGACTGTGATGTCCAGAAGCAGAGCCTAAGCATCCAGCCCTTGCACAGCATCAAGGCCTTCTCTGCTTCTCCCTCTGCTCCCTGCAGCAGGGGAACTGGGCAGTGGGCTGGGAGAGGGGACACCGCCAGGAGAGCTGACCTGGCAGCAAGCACTGTTCAGTGACAGCCACAACACTGGCAAGTTGTCAACACTGGTTTAGTCACCAGTCCAAAACTCAGCACCATATGGGCTGCTATGACGAAAATGAACTCTATCCCAGCCAGACCTGACACTGCTAGACACAGATAAAGCTGACATATTTCTTAAGGTGTCAGCTGCTGACCCATTTTTCCTTATTTATGATTCTTTTTTAGTTCATTTAAAATGTTTTATGTTTCTTGCTATGCTACGTTGCCCCTCTGCATGAAATCTGAATTATTTTTAGAGTGAATTTTCAAGGAGTATATGGAACATGTCTTGTGAAAATTGGACTGTAGCAGTGGAAATGGTTATGAATTTGAGACTTTGTAAATCTTATCTGTACAGGAACATCCTTAACAATTAAAAGAGTGGAAAATAACTTGTTGCAGGGAAACAGCAGGC